GTTAAATGAACACTTGTATGGAAGAGTTAAACATACACTTGCCTCCGAAGAGTTATAGTTACTCTTTAAAAGAGTGGATTCTGTGACAAGCCAGTTACACTCCAAAAAGAGTTAAATCGACACCTTTTTTTTTAGAGTGTGCGTTCACCGACCTCATAAACTCACGCCCCTTACCGAACTCGTGAACTCATGAACTCACTGAAACTATGAACTTACTAAACTCATGAACTCGCTAAACTCATGAACTCATCGAATTCATAAACTCACCGAAGTCACGCCGCTCACTCAACTTCAGATTCGCGAGTTTTCGAGGCTTATGAACTCGCTTAGGCCTCACCTCACGCATGATTGGTGAGGGTGAGTGAGGTGAATGAGTTCACTATTTAGTGAGTTTTGCTGAGGCATGCTTCTGACACGTAGTAGATCAATCACATTTTATATCGAATTTACTTGTTTCGTTGTCTTAAAAGTTACTTTTTTGAATAAAGCAAATAAACCCTCAGTTAGTGCACCGCCACCTATTCTCGAACATTTTCTTCAATACAGAAGTGGCAGTCCAAACTGTGGTGAGAGGCCAAAAGCGTAGTGTTGCTTTTATTTTCTCTTTCAGAAACCACCTGCCAGGCGCTAGACGTAAGCGTGGACGTCGAAAAGGTGTTTCAAAAGAAGGTATGGTGATTGCAGAACGTCACGTTGGTTTTTTAAAGGAGATCAAGTTAAATAATTGTGGAAAGATATTTTAGCTATTATTTGTCATAATCATTTTCAGTCGTCGTAGCTTAATATTATAAACTCTAAAAGTCAGAGTATTATGTGGACTTTTAAATATAGAAGTTGTAATTCGATTAATTAGGTTGCCGTCACCCACGGGCAGCGTTCAGCCGTTATTTACAACCAAAGCTACAGGACGTCCAACCAGCGTGTCGGCAGCGCAAAACCCAGCGTCCAGCCGACGTTCGCTTTTCCACTCGCTGGCCTAGCTACTGCGATATCACGGAGGGGGTGCGCAGGCGTTAATTACTAAGAAGGTCTTCTGGTCCTTCATGGTCAACGTCTCGAGACCGCAGAACTGGCACAATGGCTGGTCATCAAAGGAATATCCACTATGTGTTGGGCAGGACGCATTACGCTCAGTAAATGTTCTTACCTCCTTGTTTTTTAACAGAACATTCAGAACAAATGTGATCTCCAACGAATTACATCCGCTTCCTGCACTAACTCTTCACTATGCCAATCCTGTGTAAGCCACTAGAGCACATCGAGAGGTACACCTTCCAAGCTTTTATTCATCGGCGCTTTAAAAACTGCACGATATATTTTTTTTTAAATCTGCCCTTGAAAAAAAAAAGGGGGGGGGGAAGCTTGATACCCATCCACTGCGTTAAAGACAAGAAATCCTGCAGCGAAGTACACTGACTTGACATAATATACTGTATGCTTAAACTTATTTGAGACATTTCGACTCCCATGCAGCATCATCAGTAAGCGCACTGCAAAATGCGATGATCTGGCTTGCATTAGCTTTGCACGCACTGATTATGCCCCCCGCAAAACTTTTTTTTGACGATTGTCAAGTCGCTGTACTTATTCTTGTTATGTTTTATAACGTCAGTGCGCAACAGTAACGAATTTGTTTATTGTTTATTACGTTGTGTATCGTCTAGCTTACATCAGGATATTTGATGCATTGTCAAAACGGCTCCACCATGTCCTTAATGTGCTTTTGAGCCAGTCTCTCTTCCCACCCTCTCACCATATACAACTTAATTTTAAGCTTGATTTGTCTCAGCTGGTGGAATGATTTACAGTACGACCATCCACGTGGATATAACACACTCGTTGCTATAAAATTCAGCTGAGCTTCTCGGACGCCTTTGGAAATACTGGCACTTCTCTGCGCCTAAATAAATTCAAATTGCCTTGCTGGTATCTCGAGGAATGTCCTCTCGGAATTAAAAGGAAAGACAAAAAAGGAAGAAGACCAAAAGACGCAGACGGTCGTTTTTATTGCTTTCCCTTTTCCCCTGTAAGTTACCGAACCCACTCATATTTGTCGATTCCTTCTCTGGCTGCCGCAATACTTGTCGATTCCTGAAGGAGACTAACGAAGCGTTGTGAAATTCTCCTCATCATCATGGTTAATATTTTTTTATTTGTCCCAGAAAACTCTTGGCAGATACGCTATAACTCGCTTAGATGAACAACGTTACACATACCTTCAATTATATTTACATTTTACGAGATGTAATATTCTTTGGTCACTAGTTTCATAAGTCGCAAGGTAACTAACCTCAGCAAAAAAAGCGAGATTTTAGATTTTATAAAATGAGTATGATGGGAGGCTTATTTTCAGCACTCATCCAGCTGCATCGTACACGAACGGAGTGCAAGTGAACCGATTTGAAATACCAATGTTGTCTTAAGTTTTTAGCCTAATCAATGAAATGGCATTCACTATACTCCTCAGTTGGGCCTAATATTGTCGGGAAGTAAAAATAGATCTCCGAATTTTCCTAGGTTTCGCAAACTTTAGGCGTGCTACTTCAGAAATATATGAGCTAAGGGTTGCGCCAATACGTTTATTATTCATGCATGCAAAATAGTATTTATGCCGCAATGCGAAAGGTGTGGTCGATAAAGGTACCAGTTACGTCACTGCTTGAACTAAAACCCATGCTACAGGGCAACTCGAATACCATTTACAACGATTGAGATTCGTGTGATCGACGAATCGGCTCGCGATCTGTCGCGCGTGGAACGCCCCACGCTCGGAGTGTCGCGCTGATTGGCCGATCATTCAAATGTCATTCGTTGTAAATGGCATTAGAGTTGCCCGTGTGGCACGGGTATTAGGTCACTCATAACCATATATTCCTAAATAAAACAATTATAAAACGAATAATCCCGAAAGCATACACCTCTTTGATGCAAGGTGGCATATAGGACAAGTCGCAGTTGAGACCGACGTCAAACCATGCAATGCTGCTCTGGTTTCGGTTTCAAACAAGCACAGTGCGTACGTTGATTGTTATTGAAAACCGGTCTGGCCGTTTGTAATTGGTTTTGATTGTGCTAGGGGAGGCACTTCAACATTACCCCTCTCACATCTGGTCGAACGGAAGGAAATGAATATTACGTACTAATTTTTGATTGAACACCGTCAATCGACAGGAAAGCCGAACCGAAATACACACACCTTTAAAATGCGAACTATTATAGCAGCTTTAGTACTTTAAAAAAAAGTGAAAGCCGTTTACAACTTCCTGTAACGCCGAATTGAAGCGCAGCTCTTGAGGAGGAGGAGTGGAGGGTATATTCCTCCTCCTCCCTCGTGATCATGCCTGCTAGTCCTCCTCCGCTCCTGCTCCCCCTCCCTCTCTTTTACCACCTCCTCGTCCTTCAAGCTCCTCCCCTCCCCTCGCCTCCGCCTCCTCGTCTCTCCTCCCCCCTCCTCCACCTTCGTACTGCTTTCCTCCTTGCCGCTCAAGCCGGAAAGGGTCGCGTGAAAGCTGTGCTCTGAAATATAGAGTGAGGACAAATATTTTGGAGGGTTGAAATTTTATTGATTGGGGAAAAACCGTGGTGTATATTGGAAACTGCGTTTCCAATATACTCATGCTCATCCTCCCTGCTCATCCTCCCTGCTCCCCTGCGTTCTCCTCTTCCCCTCGCGGGGGCCACGTGATCTCGGGGGGGGGGGGGAGGGGAGGGGGTAGTCACGCGACCCTCCCGAGGCCACGTGACCCCCCGCTGAAGTCATGTGACCCTCTCCCCCCGAGGTCACGTGACCCCCCCGAACCATACCAGACAATGAGGGGAGGAGGAGGAGGGGGAGGAGGAGGAGAGGGAGGGGCGCGGTTACGGCGACGCCGACGCCGACGGCGACGCCGACGGCGACGCCAACGGCGACGCCGACGCCGCTCAGGCTGGAAACGGGCCCCTAAGAGCTGCGCTGTAAAATGTCAACAGCATACAAAAATATACTTGGAGTGCCACAAATAAATAGTAATAGATTGGGATCTGTAACTTATGGTAAACATTTGTTAAGTATCGGATATAATTCCCTTGTTGTGACACGCACGTCCCTTGGAAGTACCTCACACAAGTGAAATACAAAGCTACTTGTAGTTATTTTGAAACCAGTATGTTTTTCGAGCTTATGTACAGCTACCGTGCCTGGAACGCGTCTTGGATTGGGGTGTTTTGCTTCCTATCCCCCCCCCATACATCAGAAGTGGTTCCGAAGTGGCAAATAATAATGTCACAAGTGACAAAAGTTGGAGTGTCATGTTGTAGGATGTCGCAATCCCGGTAGTTGGTGCGAAATATTGCGGAAAAAGAAAAGTACGACTTAAAGCGAGTGTCGCTACCGTCTCCAAGTTCCAATTTCTAGCACTCAAGGCTTCCGTGAACTGCGAGGCCATTTTCACCAGCGCTGGTGGGACACTGCCAGGGTCACCGCCGGCGACAACGTGACTCTTCCATGATTCCAACAAGGGGGCATTGAAGGACCTTGTTTTAGGACGTGGTAAGCAGACCACTGAAGACGCATTTCAGGCACCAGTCATCGCGAAGCGCCGACGATGGAGAGGAGCCTCAAACTGGGAAGGCTCCTTTCCTTTGCAGCCTCATGTCGATAGTTTCTCATCCAGAACATTTGTCCATAAAGGCTCCCTCAGTTTTCCAAATGAAGAAGCGCTAAAGCTTCGTGCATGGACTTCCACATCTTCTAGGAGAACCTGAGGATGTTGGACGTTGGTAATTTGTACTGGGAAGTGTTTATTGGGGGTCTAACGAAACAAAAAGTGCAGGCTCAACTTACGTCTGTGTAATTAAAACACCGTGACTAGATATTTAAATGACTTATATAAGTGTAGTACATAGTCTGAATAATAGCATCTAGATGGTCAACAAACGTGAAAACACCATACAGCCAGTGAAAAGAAAAGCATTATCCATATGTAAAATGAATAATTTACGCTCAAACCATTTGACAGAGGTGCCAGGCCGCAAAAAAATTATTGTTTATTGATATTGCAAAAAATACAAACTGATAACTTAATAAAATGCAGATTCGGAACAGCTGGTTGAAAGTCCACATTAAACACTTTTATTACAATATCCCCCAAAACCCAGGCAAAAAAAAAAAAAAAAAAAAACAAAACGTAGCTTTGGACAAAGCTAATATTACGAATGACTTGAATATACGGTGGATATTTTCCTAAGCAGATTTGATGAAACGGCCAAGGATAGGAATATTTTCCATAATATAATTGTACACATTCTTCGGAACTTGTATGGGTACCAAGCTCATGCTCTTCGCCCATTGGAATATTTTTTCGACAACGGCCTCTGCATCCATACTCCCTGCCAAGAGAATACAGAGGAGAAAATATATCAGAATGTAAGAATCTCCGCCATTAAACAAACATCTAACACAAAACGTTATGGAGAATAGTTTTGAATGTACGTTTCTAAATATTCGGAAATATATATTTTTCAATGGAAGATCCCGATTTCATATATGTTTCATTAGCTTTTCATAGTTTAATAAACACTTTCAGGTTTCCTTTTATTAATATATGTATTGGTAGAGTCTGCGCGCTTTAAATGAATTTTGAAGGAATTAAAAACAAAAACGTAGGGAAATTAAAGCACCGCCTTTAAAGACGGACGACCAGTTCGCGCTTTCCACTTTTCCCCCGCTTCCCCCTCTCCCCTTTCTATCCTGTCCACCGTTGCTTGTTTTCTCCTCCCCCATAGTGAGGAGGATATTCTGTCTTGCAGAATCTCGGGTCTGGTCGTCGGCCTTTAAGAGTGGAACACGACAGCGTTATCGGGCCCGTTTGCAAAGCCTTCACACATAAACCCGTGCTCGTTCTCAAGTCATGCAAGCGTGTGTGCGTGGTCTAGTCGGTAGCGTCACGTGTCACGTGGCGTCACATGACATCCCGTGTGACGTAATGTCACGTGACGCTTCACGTCACACGTGGCTGTTTCGTCATTACCATAACAACCTGCGAAAGTTAGCTCCGCTAAATATGTCGGAAACAGTTTTCGCTGAATTTTGATGTAAATACTTTCCGCAAAAGTTTGCGCGAAAATCCAATATTACAGCGCGCGGAGCCACATATGACGTCACACGCGACACGTCACGTGTCACGTAACACGTGACGTCGCACGTGGCTGCGCGCGTTGCATTATGGGAGCCGCCTCGGTGGCTCTAAGGCGGGAGCATTGGCCTACAGATCCCCATATGGCGGGTTCGAATCGCGGGCCGAGGTGCCCGCAATCTGACGGAGGCTTATTGCGGAGAAGGCGCCGAATAACCCAGCTTTTGGTTTTACGTCAAAAGATCCCCAGGTGGTTCAAATTAATACGCAGTCCTCCACTGGGGTGTGCCAGATGCACGTCTATGGTTTTGCACGTAAATACCCCAAATTTGACTTGTCTTTGCACTATGGGATTTTTAGTCCCGCCGACGCCGACTCCGGATTTCTTTTTAACGCGATAGCGTTGAGGAGCTCGTATTACGAGCTCCTCAACGCTATCGCGTTAAAAAGAAGAAACGTCACACAATATAATATTTTGTAACCTATTACCATTGAAACACAAAACCACCTGCCGAAAGAGGCCGCAGTTTATAAAAACACTAAAATTTGCAAGAGTTTCAATTTTATAGAGCATTTAATCTCGACTTGCTACGGGTATGTTGTTTCTTCTCGATGCTGTCATTCTGTTCTATCTTCCTACGTTAAATGTCAATACGTGCTTGACCGTAATATGGTATCATTTCATTCTATCCCGCAATGTCCTTTGCGTTGTATCATACTAAGGTATAGTGTATATCGAAACATGTTTTTCCGCCTCTCCTACGACATGTGACAACACACGCTTGCCTCGTTTCTGAGCGAAGGCAGCAGTATGTTTGAATAAAAAATGGGTTGCTTATAGGCACGCAAATGCATGATCATGTGTATGATAATGTCACAGCCACCGGCAAAGCCAAATTGTGCTACGATAAAACAAGAAACAAAAGTAAATGCAAGGAAAAATAAAGTTGTTTGGTTTATTTAAAAAACAGATCTTAACATCAAATTAGACAAAAAATAAGTGTGTTTTGTAAGCATTCGTGTAACAGGCAGCATTTTCTGTAATAATCATATTTAATTCTAAGGATGCTTTTTCCAAGTTTTCTGTACCAACTTTGTTCGTTCTTTTGTCTTGTTTCTCACATGCTGAGATAACCAGTATTTTAAAATAAACGAGTGAGAAGCGTTCAATTCATAGCGTTTGTGCTAGCCGTTCTTATGTAACAATTTATTTCTGAACGTGTTAGACTTCGTAAAGCTGACCTAGATAATAAATACACCTTGAATCACGTAAGCAGTGTAGTGAAAATATTGTTTTCGGAAAAGTCAGGTCACGTGTTTTAGAAAACTAATGAATCTAATGTTATTCCCAGAGCTCAATTGTATTGGCACAAATTCTTTGAAAATGTGTATGGTTACTTATGTTGTTCCAGTAAATACGGATACTCTTCGGCCGTACGTTTTCTATTTAATTTGATCTCACTTAATTTTTCTCAGGACTGAAGACACACAGAGAAGCGTGAAGCAAAGTAATATAGTTATTAAAGTAAAAAGAAGAAAAAGTCAAAAAAGCAAAATCACTACGAAATAAATTTTAACAAGTTAGTAATTGTAGTTCTAAAACCAGCAGTGTTTCTAATTGTTGCTATGGCTGCGAGAAGCATATTCTAATGGGTCAAGTGTAGGGATGCATTGTTGTAAGCCGTATTAGTGGAAAGGAAATTTTTTTCTTTCTGATTAGACCGAACTTTCTTTAAAGTGTAAGTTGTATCCGCTGCATAATAGAGAGATTAAGACATTCTTGCCACTATTAAGAAATATAACTATAGAAATAGTACGTCGATGAATGTAACTCATCTAAATGCAAAATTAAATCGACGTTTAACTTTGCGCTACATGACCTAAAACGCTCCGTGAACTTCTTTATCACTTATAATAATAGGTAACGACTATATCCCTACTGAGACACCTTAGGTATGGCACGAGCGGCAAAATATGCGCAAGTTGAAAGGGAATGCTGGAGCGGTTTTGTATTTGAGGACACGCATTTATATCATTTTCATTTGACCTCCAGGATCTCAAATATTCAAATTATTTTTTAATTTGGTGCATGGATGCTGCAGAAAACGCCTTTCAAAAGAAATGTTGAAGGCCCTTCTTAACGGAATGTGACGTCACGAAAGGTGTTTTCGAAATTTCTGCTCTCGCGCATTTTCAGCGCCTGTCAAAGCTATGCACGTGAACTCTTGCTATTTTGAAAAGGGCAGCAAAAGACGTAACGTCCGTACCAGTGGGGGTGAATATACCTGGCAGGCTTGCAATTGCCAGCGCGGCCTTCGAACGACAAGCGCTTGGATGGCTGAAAGATTCTTTTATTCCGTCACGACTGGTCTGAGGTTTTTTGTATTTTCTCGCGTTTTGTTACGTCTTAGAGGAAACTGAAGGTAATATTTAAGATTCACGAGATAGAAACACGCTAGAATCAACCTCTACTTTAATTTTTGAAAGAAGTATTTCACTTTCCTTTTAACAAAAGTTCTATATAGAAATGGTTCACATATTTCTGAAGGTTCAAAAATGTTATGTGGCGCGGTAGATAAAAAAGGCAACAGGAATTGCGCTCTCAAGTTTAGAGCATACCTTTTCAGTGATTAAAATAATCCTGAACGGGTACTGAAACTAATGTACTTATTAAATTTTGTTTATTTTGTGACCAATTTTATATTAGGCATTCAAAAGTTGGATGGTTCCTTACCCTCTCCAGCTCGGCCTTCTACTCCATTACCGGTGTAGGTTCCGGGTACTGCTTCCAAAGACGCTGTTCAAAAAAAAAAAAGGATATATTTGTCTGGACAGAACGGACCATTAAGGTACATAATACATACAAGCGGTCTAATTTTAATTGGAAAAAATAAAAAAAAGGAGCCGAGAGTGTGATTAGTGTTGTCTTGAGTGTATTGATAATGCTCAGAGGACATAACACGAGGGGATAACCAGCATGGTAATTTGGCCAGTTAACTAATATCCGGTAGTAATCTTTTTAAGTATTTGTTTTAGGGGTCATGTTGCAATTGCAGTATTATAAGCAATTACTATTAGAGCACAGATCAATACAAAATGTAATAGATTTAATATATTAATTGATACATTTAAAATTTTTAGCCCGATTTAAAACTTGTGCGTAAAAAAAAGCCCCGCAAGCCTTGTTCATAATAATGCGTGCAAGAGGGACGTAGTGGTTTCAGTCATGTCGTCACTATCTCGGTAGGGCGTTCTTGGTGGTTGCGCCGACGACACATGTGACTACGTGACTGAAACAACAACGTCGCTCTTCTTAGCGCCATAGTGGGCAGGGCTTGCGGAGCTCTATTTGTGTACAATTTCGAAGTCGGGCTAGGAATGTAAAACAGATAACATAATTTCTAAAAATGTATTACTTTTTCGTTTTTCTTAATTGGCTTGGTCCCTATCAGTAGTGGCCGCCAGTAGTTCTATCGCAACATGACCGCTAAACCCAATGTTTAAAAAGTTCATTAACGGATACTAGTTAATTAGCCAACGTACCATGACGATTATCCCCTCATTTAATGTTCACCGAGCCTGATAAGTACTTGATGAAGACGGCGCCAGTCTTAATCTCAATCCTTTCTTTTTTTAAGGACCGTTTGAATTAAAACCCAGCACCCTGCATAGAGTATGCATACAATTACAGATGGTGGCTTAAGTAACGAGGTTAGTTATAAAATCAGGCGCAAAAACGACTCCTCCTTCTATAAATTCCGATTTTTATCAAACCCGTATTTTTGTGGTGCACGCTACCTTTTGAAATATGAAGTTTTGTTTCCGTTCTCGTAAAAAAAATGACAACACCCTGCTTGAAATTTTTACGACGGACACTGATGTTGAAGGTCAATTTGCGCTACCAAATCTGTCGTCGCTGTTATCGAGGGTGCGAGCCACAAGTCATTGAAAGCAGATAAGCAGAGGCAAGAGACGCGTTTCCGGCAGATTCCCTGCATTTTGGGCATTGTGTGTCTTAGAGTTCCGGCGTTAACTTAAAAGTACATTGTAATTTCCTAGCTTAAAACAGGACTTTAGGCGATCCGTTGTTTGCAGTGATATCGCATTTTAGTTTTTTTTAAATGATGTAATCTTAATATAATTTAATGATATAAATGTATTTATTATTGTTATATGCTCTGTGTAGCCTTTGTTCAATATTTTTCTTTTTGAAGGAGCTGGTGTCTATTTCTGTGTTCCCCTCGTGTATCGGCAGTGTCACCACATCAAGTTTAAGATTGGGCTGTTTATATACATATATACTTTTTTGAGGAATATTACATCATGATTATACTGCCATGCATTTGAGAGCGTGTGCATTTTGAATTATTGATGCTCCTTCTACGTGACGAGACAAGTGATGTATTGTTATTTTTTACTATCTATACTATGTATGTAATTTTGAGCTCTTAAACTTTTTTTTTGGGGGGGGGGAGGGGGGGGGGGCAAGGTAGCAGTCAGGCACGATGCCTTTTTCTCGGCCCCTCAGCAGATAACACCCGCAACACATATAAAGAAATAAAGAAGTTAGATTACGCGACGATTATCTCTGATTTTCCTCCACCGATATGACATATCGCAATTGTTACATGTTGCGCCACATCTTTATATCAGCACCAAACACACCTTTCGGCGGGGCTCGACTGTGTGCATCGGAGACCGTCGAGAGAAGTTCAAGCGATCTAGTCTGCTTCTTCACATTCACGGAGCTATGACTTGAAATTATAAAAGGTGAAATGCTCCCATGAAATACAGATGTCGAACATTTGTGCTCGCTACGGAGAGGAATCATTGCTTCCGGTTTAAGTTAAAGCAGCTGAGTAACGGGCCTGAGTACAGCTTGTTGGTGCATGTTACTAAGGTAGGGTCAGCATAAACTTAGGAGAAGAAAACGTAAAAAAATATTAAGAAAAAAACGACATAGATGCCTCTGGATTACGAACTATGGTTTAATACTTCTCCCTCCTCGTGAGTCGTTACTGTCTGTTTCGTTTTCTTATCCTTTATTTTAAGGGCCGCACATTAAATATGGAATGTAAAAATGGCCCGTAGAAGTGCGGGTCATTTCAAACTGAGGTTGCATGTGGATTTCATAATGAAGAAGATATATGAAGCAGATAGTTTAAGCTCACGAATGGAAAATGTATTAAACCATAGATGGGAGTCACGCGGTATATCTGTCTCTTTTTCTGTCTCTTTTTTCACGTTTACGTTTTCCAAGTTTAAGCTAGCCCTTCCTACTACCATGTCAGAGGTTTCTTTGCTATTTGAGCCACGCACATTTTACATAAAATTATAAGAAACTTACGCATAACGCAATCACGCCGACACAAGCAAACCGGAGATACCAATTTTGCAGGCCGTTGCTGAGGTGGTTACAGATTTTTGTCTCATCGTGGCAGTTATAGCTATATTCACCGTGAAATTCACAATAGTTATAACGCGATCGGTAAAAATGCATAGGATAAGGCGTGTATATTTTGAGAAATGTTGAACACGTATTCTAAACATCCTAAAATATAAGTTTCTGCGCCAAGTAATTAGAATGCACTCATATGGGCATCAAATACTTTAAAAAAAAGCAGCTCGCACTCATCGGTTTGGAAAAATGACCAGTCTTTCACTGCTGGGGTAAATTTCGAAAGATTCATTGGAACTCGCGAGAGACATTCGAGTGTGCGCTGCGGTGAAGAGCGGGGTTTCGGATTTACTTATGGCGCAACTACCTTCGCGTTTAGGCCACAAGTCTTCGACAAAATATGAAGGCGTACAGAACGTCCTACCTAGTTTTGTCATAGGTTAGAGCAAACGGGTTGGCGCTTAAGCTAGAGATCCGAACATGTTTCGGGGGAACGTCGATGCAGCATATTAAATTGGTCCGGTATTGACACGGTATTTAACTGAAGTTTTTCACAAAATTTTTGATGTCGTAAATATCGAACGGCCACAAGGGCACTGAGATCCCGGTTGTTTTGTGAATTTGTATTACTGTGCAAACTTATAAGTATATTTAAATATTTCATCTAAGTTACTCAACAAAATTCGAGTATAGTTAAACATTTTAAGGCAATTAGAACAGAGTGATTCAGTGCATACGGTGAATTACCTATCTTGTACAATTATAAAAATCCTTTGATAGCTTATTGAATAGGGTATCTAGATCATAAAATTGTATGCAAATGACTCTCCAATCGCGAGAGAGATTAGGCCCCAATACAAACTTTGTTGAAAACGTTATGCTATTTGTTACAAGGAATGCCAATGACTTTGCAATATCTTCCAACATTGAAAACCTAATATACCTTGGTATCCAATTTATCCAGTGGGGTACAAACAGCTGCCCATTATTGGACAACATTCCAAGCACGTTAGCACTCCATGGGAATGGCATGGTATTCAATTAATCCGAAGGGATGCCAATGATTTCCCAATATTTGACAGAATTGGATGCTCATTGGCACTTCATTGGAAGTAGTATTCGTTTTATCCAGTAAGGTGCCAATAACTACCCATTATATGACAACATTGTAGTCATGTTAGCACTTCATTGGAAGTGGTAAATTAGAAACCTTGGAAGCCCATTGGCACTTCAATTTATCGAATGTGGTGCCAATGACTAAGCAATATTGGACAAGATTGAAAGCAATTTGGCACTTTATTTCAAATGAGATTCAATTTATCTAATGGCGTGCCATTGACTTACCAATATTAGACAACATTGGAAACCAAAAGGCACTTCGTTGGAAGTGATTCCCAATTTATTTTATGGGGTGCCAATGACGGCTCAATATTTGACAACATTGGACGACCATCAGAACTTTATTATAAATGGTGTGCAATTTGTCCAATTTGGTGCCAATGATAGAACAATATTGAAAAACATTGGACGTCCATTGGCACTTCATTGAAAGGTGTATACAATTTATCCAAGGGGGTGCCAATGATAGCACAATATTGAAAAACATTGGAAACCTATTTGCACTTCATTGGAAGTTGTGTCCAATTTATCCAATCGGGTGCCAATGACTGCCCAATATTTGACAAAATTGGATTCCCATTGGCACTTTATTGAAAATGGTGTCCAATTTATCTTATTGTGTGCCAATGACTGCACGATATTGGAAAACATTGGAAGCCTATTGACACCTAACCGAAAGATGTATCCAATTTTTCCGCTGGGCGCCAATGACCCTCCAATATTGGGCGACTTCGGAAGCTCATTGGCACCAGATTAGAAGTGGTTTCTAATTTGTCCAATGGAATTCCAATGGACTCCCAATATTGGTGCTAGAGAGGATAAGCGGGGCCAATCGTGGCCTCATTTGCCCTAGACATTCCCAATGTTGGTTACAGAGAGGACACAATGAACCATTTATGGCCCTTTTTTTCCAAGACATTGTCAATGTTGGCCCAATGGTTCGAGCTGCCTGGGAGGTGCTCGCGAGTCTCTAGCACCCTATTATTGCTCGACAAGCAACGAAAATATAAAATTAGTCGATAAAAAATCATAAACCAAGAACCATAAACATGATGAACCACACCCCGCGCGTCTTAAGCTATTGGTGCCCGTAAAATGTTGGGCATACATTATAAGAAACTACAATGGAACCTATGCGCTGAAACTATATTGCATATCAATTTCAGTGTAGTTAATAAGCAAAACATTATCAGGCATTTAGCTGTTAGGAATGAGCCATGCTTACGTGCTTCTTTGTCAACTCTGTCATCCATCGCATCAGTGTTATATGTTTTTGGTGCTGCTGTCGCAAAAGCTGCCGAGAATAAATGAAAACACAAGTTTAGGCAGGGCACATTATTTAGGAGCTTGCAAGTTTTTCTTTTTCCGGCACCACAGGTGGACGAAAAGCAGACATCATTTGACACGAAGAGCCAAGAGTATGGATTGCTGCAGTAGCTCTTGAACTAGTTAAACTAGTTGAAATAGAAATTAATATGTAATTAGTGCTACTTATATACTCAGAAGCAAGAAAGAAACAAAATAAATGTTCTAAAACTGAACCATCGTATTCTCACAAAACTATATTTGAAATAAAAACGCACTTTATGTTACGATAAGGAATGTTTCGCGAAAAACGAAATCAGAAATTTGATAGGGTCGTAAAGTTCTACAAATTAACATAGCCTTAAGATGTAAATAGACATAAAAATTTCTAATTTCTAACTAGTAACTTTTAAAATTGTTACTACTGTAATATTTTTTTCTTACCATGGAATGCTTGTGAGCAAAGTACAATGCAGACTAGCTTACGGTTACGTAATCTGTTGGTTATGTCAAATTTGTGAAACCAAATGCTAATTGGCAGCCATATAATTAGCATCTGGACAAAACATATTTGAGTCTTTAAACATGATCCAATTTAACTTATTTTCATGCTCACGGTACGCGTCCGATCTGCCGGTTTAAAAGATCCCCTTTTTTAATTCTGCGCAAGGAAGCTTTTATTCACTATTGTTTCCAAAAGTGAACCCTTGCACAGCTTTTAATTTATCAGAATGGTACTAATTCAGAAATTCATAAGCAGCTTGTTTGTTAAAGAATTTTAACTTTAATATCTGATAAAATTACTCTTATTATGAAAACACCTGGGAAAATACACAAGCTTGTTCCTGCCAACGAAGACCGATAGCACAGATTGTGCTGAGTGAAAACGATTACAGTGAAAACGATTACCTCACTGAACAACCTCGTAGAAATCGATATCACGTGACTTGAGCTCAGATGATGTGGTCACGTGACGAAGCCCCGACACGTGGTCACGCAACGTGAATTTTTGCGCTATGTTTAGCGGGAAAACTGACGCCACCTCAATATAGATTCACCACTAAATTGAACGGGGAAAATGCCATGATAGTTCTTCATTAAATGCTTCTCGTGCTATTCGGGTTGATGTAACTTTGTCATGATGGTGAGACGAAGACTGGAGGGGAAAATGAACACAATGGAAAAAGTGATTTTGTTTTCAAGTTTTAAGACTAGGTATTTTGGAATATACTCATTACTTTTAAACATTGATTACAAAAAAGAATGAAATCTATGTTGCTAAGCACATAGCGCACTTCGCTGCTTAGAGTTTATCCTAAAACAGAATGGCTTGCCCAAATTTTATTTTATGTATTCCCACTTTTTTTAAAGGAGGGGGCGGGGAGGGTTTATATTTAAGTCTAATTTAAGACTAGCAGTTTTTGAACTAGAAAAACGTATGATTAATTTTTTAACTGATTTGGAATTTAAAGAAAAAAGATATAAGGGTCAATTGTCAAATATGGGATATGTATAAAGTCGCTTTTATGTTGCGGATAAGAGTAAATTAAGAACATCTTGTCTATTTTAGAGACGCAGGATATTAAGCAAAAATCGGATGCGACCCAATGACAGCTTTACGATTGAAATGATTTCAATGAAATATATAGTCAATAAAAAATCGCAACATGTGTTTTAGTCTTAAAATCAGTTATCAATTGCTTTTTTATAAAAAAAAGTGGATTTTATACGGCTGTAACGCCGTCGGCTAAGTTAAGGAGCCATATGTTTCAGAATTTACTGTTCCCGAATAGAAATAGTATAAATCTGGTAATAAAATATTGAATAAGTGAACTACATGTAAACCATAACTTTTAAAATCTGAATATAAAGGTAAAACTAATCGTAGTATCAACCTAATGCATAAATGGAAGGAAGAAAGCAAAATTTCAGTTAAATTAACTTTGTAAATTGGCAAAGTGATGTGAAAAGGTGTCGTGGTGACGTTTACGTCGCGAACTATATTTCTATTACCCGCTAGGTTTAAGACGCATTCCATGGCCTAGGTATAAAATCAATTTGGTGGATAATCAGAAGTTTTAGACTACTAATTTAAAAGCATGTAGCTCCGATCATTGATAAAATATTCAGACAAACGCATTGTGATACGCTTATGGTATAAAACAATATAGTGGACGTAATTAACTGTTCATTGTTTTGAAAACATGTATTATACTTAGACTTACCGACTAGCATAAAGATCAACGGGATACAAATTCCAAGAACTTGCATTTTTGCAGCCAGCTGCGAGGAAGAGTGAACCACACGCACAAGGATTGCGTTCACCTTTTTCTTGGGTCATTGTCAAGAATGAACACAAATTCTGCTTGCCAAGCTATGGAGCGAATCGTTGAGTGGCTCGTTTAGACATAACTGACAATGCGTCTATATGTCAATGCATGAATTGGATTGTAAATGGTGAAACATTTCACGCCAAAAAGGTGTCATAATAAACTAGGTACGAGGTTTACAGAATGCAACTCTACACTTCACAACAGGCACATTTTACGTTGAAAAGATGCCAGAACATTGGTTTATACTGTGGTCCTTGAAATGTTGCTGAAAACCCTACAACAGAGAGTAGTGTGTTTAAGAATTTGGTCATTCATTTCTGTAAACAGCAGGACAATAAATGCATTTTATTGGCTGAAAGTGAGATGGGTATGCCACCCAACAAGTGTCCCGGACAATCCTTACCAGTGTAGTAAGCTTTAGGGTTGCAGAACACAAAACTTTCCAGAAGTCCAGAAGTTAGCCGGAAAGTTTCACTCTTTTTCTGTTTTGTTTTGGCGTTTCTAAAGCTAAAGGTTTTGCTTGCTGGCTGAGCAAAGGCACGCATGTCATTTCCATTGCAGCAGTGCTTTTCTGAACGAAATATGAATACAAGCCGCCAATAGGTGGCGTGAAATTTGTGGTTAAGAAAGTGGAGCGTAATTTTTCAAATATAAGTTGTGCAGTTTCCACCCATTTTCAGGTTTTACAACTTACACCATACTAAAAACAGTTATTATTTGTGGGGAGCTCCAGTGCGGCCTTGCCTCTGCGCAAGTACTGCGTCTTATTAGTTTGTTTGTTCGTTTAACAATGAATACGCGCTCAAAATTGGTTTAATAATGGAATCATTATTTTGAAAATAACATTTCTTAGCTGTCGTTTATGAATCTTGAAAAAAGTTGTTTAATATTTACTAATGCTTTCTTCTGGTAAACTTGGAACACATGTATGGCTTAAGCTAGCGAAGAATACCATGATACAAAGCAGAAAATAGGAAACAACAACAGAAGTTTGGTGGCCAGTCATTTAAACAAGACATGACTCAACAATAAAAAAAATATTGATACGAGTTGAACTCACCTAATATTCTCTAGAGTAGACTACAGTAAAGGAGTGTAATTGAACATAAAGGCATTAAACATTTAAACATTTATACTGCTCACGAACGTTTTGCACATGTTCATTTGCAGTCAAGCGCCAATTGTTAAGAGTGATTATATGCGTTACAAGTGGTTGAAACAAATAAAGAAATGCAGCGGGCGCCGTGGTGATTGAACTGCGATACCGATAAAACAAAGAAATATCGGCGCAAGGGTGAAAAAAAATGGATTGGCGTCGCTACAGCGTTTTTCAAAATCTGGGAGGACGGAGCAGTGAATAAAAAAAAAAAACTTACTGTGAAAAAAAAACCATCTTTAATCTTTTAATTATCGCCGAAAACGAATGAGTCAGAGAGTATAGCGGAGATTTAACTGCTCAAATAAAGTCGCATATAGCAACTACGACACATGCCTGCGGTTTCTGCGAAAACAGATGGGGCCGACACGAAAGCACGAATGGAATTGCGTAAGCTCGAAATTCTAGGTCGGAGACATTGCTCATATCCGTTGTTCTGCGAAATGTACCGACAAGTATATAGAAGAAAATCTGGGTTTAAAAAAATTAGCAGCGACTTTTACCTTCACAGTCCTATAATGCCTCAAGTGCCTTATAAAAAACTAGTGTGCCTAGTGGCTTTACATTTTGCCGCTAAATTTAGCGGGGAAATTGAGTAGTTGTATAGGTCGCGTGACGTCAATATGCCCCGGAAAAAATTAGCGGGAAAACTGAATTGGTGTCGGGGTCACAACACGCACATTTTACCGCTAAATTTAGCGGGTAAAATAATATTATTTTAGGGCCCCAATAGCAACAAGCGGACGAAGTCTCAGTTGAACTGACTACTTAAATTACCAATCTGGTGTGAAGGACGTGCTCCTGGACCTTTTTAGCGAACTGTATTCAATTATACGTAACGTTTTTGACTCTCTCCACAGCCTAGGTAAAAAATTAAAATTCTGAAAATTGTTTAGACAAAAAGATTATTGTTAAAAATACAGATGACCTCGATCGTTCATAGAAACTCGAATATAAATGCAGTGTAATTGGTCAGCTTAGCAAAATAACAAAATCAACAAACTCAGCTTTACCAACTAGCGCCAGGAAGGACAGGGAACGAATTCCATAAACTTGCATTTTTGAGGTCATCTGTAAAGGACAGTGACGCACACGAGTATTGAGTTAACCGTGCGAGGAAGTTGCCTTGCTTCATACCTAACCAGGAAAAACAACACTTCGAATATAAGAAATTGCATTTAATGTTAGGTGCAAAGGACTATTAGTAACATGTAATTGCTTGGCCCGTGGCTGTTCATGGCGGGCCTCCGCGCATATAACCCCGTCCTGTGGTCTGTGGCTGAGGCTTTTCTTATTCGGGACAGCGTCCCCCTTGTTCGTTGCGTTTCATCATGCCTTTTCCGGCGTGGCGTTCCGTGGCGCTGGGTGTACCAGGCGAGCCCCCTGGTGGCCGCCGACGGTATCGCCATCGGGGCACATACAACACTTTATCTTGGATCACTGACAAGAATGATGAACATATATATATCTGGCTGCTTTTGTTGCTGTTGCTCTTTACTAAAGCGTTTGTTATACTAATTAAAAAAATAATTCAGGGTAAACAAATGTCACACTGAAGCTCCCACAATGTTGAATAAATGATACCATGCAACTCTGCGAAGGTACATTATAAGTTGAGGAAGAAAGGCCGGCACAATGAATGCAAGATACCGTAGGTAGCCTGATATTTCTGGTTGAGTTCGCGGGCGTAATTATTAAAGTAGAAATAGCAGTTTTCAACCACGTTCGAGGAAAAGCACAACTTACATTGCCCCAAAAATCCTCGTTTCCTAGAGCTCGGAATGTGTCTTGCAATTATGCAGGTCAGCGTTTTATTTTTCTGTTTGATAAACCTGAGACACATGTTCAAAACTGGTTTCGTAGCTCTCACATTCTCGCGTAATTACTTTTCGTACCGTCTTTTGAAAACAAAGAAACAGTTGATTATTTACTGACATTTTATGCCGAAAATGTGAAACACACGTATGGATTGAGGTAGCAAAGAATGCACGGACATGTAGAACAGGATAGAAAAACAAAAACAACAGCAGTTAAATGGCAGAAGGGACGGACACTTGAGCAAGAATCAGAAATTTTGATGTGAATGGAACTCACCAAATCTTCACGAGAGTAAGCGGCAGTGCACGAGTGGATGTGAACAGAAATGCCTGAGTCATTTCTACTAACCACGAACCCTTGGCAGACGTGCTTTTGCCAGCCATGTTGGAACGAAAAAAAAAAGTAATAAGTTACATCTTAATCGATATAATCTCAAGGAAAAGTAATACTTGCAGGAAGCGCCACGATAAAGGACGCCGGTAAATATACAAGAAAAGAAAGAAAAATTGACACAGTGGTGAAACTAAAATTGGTTTGGTCTAATTGGAGCGTTTTTCATTACCTCATATAACGAAACTGTTAACGAAACACTTTCCGTGAAAAATAAAATGATGAGTTTGTGTCGCCGGGGCGTTTTTTTTTTTTTTATTACCAGAGATAACGAAACGGCTAATAAAACACTTGTTGTAAAATGTATATGAAATCAAATGCCGAACTTTAATCACCGAATCCTCGGTGGAGACGAAGAGGGGCGAACTTATGCTGGAGATTTAATATCCGTGATTACGCCGAATTCTGCAGACACAAGTATATGTTGTCTCTGCTGAAAAAAATGGGGTATGGCGTATATCGCGTTCATTTCTAATAGCTGAAAGCGCGGCGGGAGATACGCGTTTGCTTGACCAATGAACCACTTCCATTCTGTCACCTGACCTTGCTCTCTGCGGGTTATCCCAAGAGAAAACATGGACGCATGGCTGTTTCAACGAGCACGTAGCTTCCACCCGAGTTTCAGTTTAGATGTGAATGGGGCATCAAAGAATATTATCCTTGATGGTTTAGGTCTTCTGTGGCGTTCCTAGATTCACAAAAGAAACGTTTCGGAACCAGGCATGTTCTTCTTCAGTCCAGTGAAAAACATCAATAACTTTGTTTTCTTTCACCGGTATAAAATGTCACGCGAAGAAACCTAAAAAAAAAAAAAAACACTGACACCGGGACAAATACCTACTAAATAAATATGTCGCATAATTGTTCGAAACGATAGAAGTAGAAGCAAAATACGCATTATTATACAAAGTAGTTTTTGGGGCATTTGGTTGGCGTGGAGCCAACAATACCTTGTGGCATAATATGTTGATTAATTGTTAAAGGACTTGCTCGTGTCCTATTAAACAATCAATCAAAATAAGAAATAAAAAAATAAGGAACAACAGTGTGGCACCGTTAGAAGGTACATATCATATATCAAAGAAAAACGACGTTTATAAATGTTATAATTTAGGGGGGATTCCTTATATTTCCAGTCTCATGGTTGTTCAAAAGCCACCTTGAAGTGTAGTAAACCTAAATTTTATAAACTTCATTATGACGTATAAGACTAAGTAGACGAGAAACTCGTCTGGGGGAGAAGTGAACGAATGCTACTTTTATGTAGATTCATCTGTATTCGTACACTTGTTCCACTTGCTCCTATATATCGAGCTTGGCTTTTCTTACATTGAACAAACCAAAGGTATTTCCTGAAAAACAATGAAACGTGTCGTTTATTTTCCAACTAAAGTGGTTTGTTGTACCTCAAATAGAGTCAGTAACCAATAAATCTGAACACAAATTACATGGAGTAGTACTAAATTTTACACAACCTAGGGGGACGGTCCTACGTCCCATGGAGTTTCTGGGGTGTCTAAATGCATATCTCCATAAGTGAGTGGTCCTTCAAAAGCAATACCCACCGGCTGTAGAACAATAGTTGTGAATATTCCTATGGTGTTGAAGGACATTATTAAGATTAGTTAACGCTTTAGTTTTCCTGCCACAGTGCACACTGACTGCAATCAGCTCCGGTGCCGCCGTGACGAAACATTCGTCATTAACACGTGACACTCCGGCGTTAAACGAGGCTTGTCCTTCCGGCAGGCATCGCGCGTTTGGTTTTCGTATCGACAGATTTCCAGAACAAAATTTGACAATGAATAACTCAAACTGCGTGCTCAATGGGGAAAAAAAAAACAACAGGGCCGGCCTTAAACACAATTTTCGTTATTTATTGAATATAAAAGTGTGCCACAAAACGTTTAAATAAATCTAATTATTGCATTGTTGTAAATTAGTCATTTATTAGTTGCACTCTCTCTTAATCCTAATGTCCTCTTGGCCATATATAGCTCATTTCCGTATACCACATTTGTGTAGCTTTCACGGCTTTTTTAAAAAAAAAAAATCTGTATTCGATTAAAAAAAAAGCAAAAAAAAAAAACAGCCCTGTATATCAGGAAACGTCACAGCATGGAAACCTTTAGTGAGATGCAAACGTATAATGAGCCTAAACTTACGAACTGTCACGGCCTCTACAATGGCAGTCTACGTGTTGGTCCAAATGTGCGCCCGCACAAGAAATATTCACAGGGAAATAAATGTTTAGTATGGTAGCAAGCTCCTATGTTTTGTTTACCACTGAACATTGAAAGTAATCTAGTATTGCGGCCGACACGTATAATTTTTAGTATAAAACTGATCTTAGTTAACGTGAAAACCAATCCGACCCCGGCCTGAACGGCACCAGGCCATTGATAATGCATTACCCTGTACATCAGGCACATACTCAGGATTTTGTTTTGGGGGGGGGGGGGGGGGGGGTACCTATGACAAAAAACTATATGAGGGGGAGGGGGGGGGAGAGGAAAACCCACACAAAATGGTTTTTTTTTGGAGGGGGGGGAGGCCTTGGGCCCCATGGGCCTCCCCTCTGGCTACGTGCCTGCTGTGCATCCATGCAGAAGTTAGCTGCACCACCATTACAGTGTAATGTCGTTGTTCTTGCCTTATTTTCTAAGCTACTGTGATAGTCTTCCAAGTTGTTTATTGCAGTTTAGCTTTCTTCTTTTCTT